TTTTACTTGATTTTGAGAGAAAAATAAAGTTGGGTTGAGAGGATTTGAGTGATTGTCATTTCGGGTTTGTTAGAAATGTGATAAATGAGAATTTTGGGGAAAATAACCCTATTTAGCGTAGGAATGAGGTTCAATCTCAATACCGAGAAAGTCAGTCTCAAGACTCTCTTATTGGTATCGATACTGAAATGCGATCTCAATATTGAGAATGGTTATTTGAATTTTGGTTTCAATACCGAGCAGGCTATCTCGATACCAAATGCCTATAAATGTTAAATTTTACACTTTTAACCCTAAAAAACTTTCAAAATAAGATATAATGATTTTAAGAATATGGATTGGGCTAAAAACTTATTAAGACACTAAGAAATATGATTTGGTATTGAATTAGAACATTTTGCTAAGTACTTTACTATAGTATATATTATGGACTTTTTGAAGAGATAGCTAGATTAAACAAGGTCTAAAACATAACACAAATAAGCAATTTAAGGCAAAAAAGTATCAACAAATAGGACCATAAAAAATACAATTCATGCAATATTAACTCCCCTAACTAATTGTAGTTTAGCACTATGTGGAGAACAATCAATCATGCATATTAACATTTAAAATCACAAAATTCTAGAAGTTGCATAAAATTAAAAGATTTTACCACTTGAATTAAAGTTGATTTGTTAAGTTTTCCTTTCTTCAAGTGTTATTCCTTAGTGTGTCTAGAGCTTCCAAATTTATTAGAATTTGATCAATATTGCTCCAACACACCTACAATAAACAATTATACAAATTTTGGCATCCAACTCTTTTTGAGTCCATTAATATTTGTTTTAAACAATTTAGTCCCCTTAGATATTCATGGAGATAATATATCTTTATTTTTTGTAGCAATGAGTCCTTTAGGACCCATATACTCTTAATAATTTTTCTTTTATAAAATTTAGGAGAATAAATATGCATATCTTAAAAGTCATTTTTGACAAAATTTGATTTGGAGCAATCTCCTCTTTCAAATTTATTTTTTATAATTTTGTCAAAATTAGTTTCTTATTTTTTAAGATCATCAATTTTCTTTTGATGATCCTCATGAAATTTAAAAAGCAAATTTTGCAAGTTTAGATTAGTTTTCTAAAATAATAACTTTTCTTGTAAATCATTGACTTTGTTTTTCAAGTTCACTACTAATTAGCCTCAGAAAGTGAGTCATTTTGATTTTTTTTAATTTTTAATAAATATTTTTTGTTTTGAAATCATGACTTCACAGTCTAATACTATTTCATCGTAGGCATCTTGCAACTCATCAAATATATATGAATTTGAATTGGATGAGTTAAATTTGAATTGGATGAGTTAGAGGATACATTTGAATTTTCTTGGATGGTCGTGAGGCAAAGGTTGACTACTTCGTCACTGTTGATATTTTCATCACTTCATGTAGTCACAAAAGCCTTCTTTTTTTGGCTTGCTTGATCATTTTTTTTTCAATTGAGGACAATCATACTTGAAAAGTCCTGATTTTTTACAATTGTAACATATGATAGGATCTTTCTACTACTTCGATTCATATTTCCTTTCTTTTTCTTTGGATAACATGAATCACTTGAATCTTTTGAAGAGCTTGGTCATCTCTTAATCTTCTTCATCTACCTCTTCACTAAATCTTCTTTATCTTCATTGATGGGATTGAAAGTGATGCCAACATCTTTTTTCTTCTTCCTATTTTTTCCTTTTTCTTTTTCTTTCATTTGAACCCTCATCTCATGAGTAAGAAATGATCCAATGAGTTCATCAAGAGTAAGAACTTCAAGATCTTTGGCTTCTTTAATAACCATCCTCTTGGATTCCCAATGACATAGACAAACTATTAACGAACTTTCTCATAATTTACTCATTTGAGTAGAATTTCCTGAAACTTTTTACCTCATTCATGATATTGGTAAATTGATCAAACATGGCTTTGATGTCTTCATCGGGCTTTATTTTGAAATTCTTATAATTAAGTGTAAAAATATCAATATTTGATTTATTCACTTGGGTTGTACTTTATAAGTGACTCCAAGGTTGTCCCAAATTTCCTTAACATTAGAGCAAGAGAACACTCCACTATACTCATCGGGCCAAGTGCACAAAAGAGGATATGCATGGCTTTGACATTGAGTTGGGCTAACTTCCTATCTTCATTGATACATTCTGACTTGTTTCTTAGAGGAATAGGTGAAATATCAATGATGACATCCTAAATCGAATAATCGGTAGCTTTAACGAACAACATCATCCTATTCTTCCAATAGGAGTAGTTTGCACCATTGAAGTATTGAGGTCTTGAAATGGATTGAGAATCTTCAACATGATAGGAGCTCAAAGTTGAAGCCATCTATAACAATTGATTGTAGAAGTTGATAGAGTTCTCCTAAGATCTTTTCAATGTTATTAAATCATCGAAAGAGACCTGTTCTGGTACTAAGAATTAGCTTTATCGATCAATTGAAATACACCAAGAGGGGTGAATTGACTTTTAGAAAACTATGGTGGAAGCAACTCAAAAATAAAACTTTTTGAAAAATAATTTGAGTGGTTAGACTTCTAAATCAAGTCTACATTCACTACCTTAGCATCCACACTAAGGATTTATCAAATCCACACTAAGGATTTATCAAATCCACTAGATTTATTAACCTTTGAGGACAAAGTGCAACATTACAACAACATACGAGGTTTATACCCCAAAACCTAGCTTACACTCTCTCCATAAGAGGAATTACAAATTTAACAAACAAAAGAAAACCTCACAAAAGGTAAATAAGTTTGCAAACAATAACCACTCACCCAAAGTCACACTTGAGCAAGATTAAACTAAGTAATTCACAAGTGTGTTACAAAGAATATGATAATTTTAGCTAAAAAATTCTTTTGATATTGGTTTGATCTTGCAATAATCTTTCTTGTCGTTCTATTTGAATCTTGGTCTCTTTTATGTCTTTTAACACCCTTCAAGTCGTTTGGGGTTGTTGTGGTTGATTAGAGCAGTTGGATTCATTAATTTTGAGCATTAAATGCTCACCTGCAACTTTGGTATCAATACTAGATAATGAGATTCGAGACCAAGCATTTTAACGGTCAAAATTATAGTCGTTGAAACCCTCAATATCAATATCAACACCATGATATCGATACAAAAAAAACTTATTAAAAAACATGTGTCGATACTGGCTTACTGGTCTAGAGACTATGAGATGACTTTTGATCAAATCAATATTTTATAAGTTTAAAAGATATTTGTAAATTATAATATGCCTCTGAAACACTTGATGTTATTTTTCACAATTAAAAATCATTTGAAAACTTTAATGATAAATTTTATTAGAATTATAAAATATAAATTTTAACAATATAAATTATTTGATAATTCATGATATAGTAAAATCAAATATTGATTCAAAAAATTTTAAAAAATAAATCCACAATATAAATATAATATAAAAACTAATGATTAAATTTCACCGTCGTATATTAAATATATAACAAAATTAATGGAGTTTTAACTCAATGAAGATGGAGCCTTGCTTTAGTTAGTCTTTGAAGTTGTTTTTATGTCTCACCAAAAACAAAAATAAAACAAGAAATTGACCGACTTTTACATGTAATTCTGCTGTACGAAAGTCTAATATAAAATTAAGGAAAGACGTTATCGGAAATGTTAATATTTTTTTAATATTTTTAGTAGAACTCTACCTAAAATATTATTTTTTTCCTACAAAAAATATTAATTTCGCTACCTAAAATAAATATTTTTGATATTAATATTTTTGGTAAAAAATTAATACTTTAAGTAACGCCCGATATTAATATTTTAGAAAAAAATAATATTTTAAATAACATTCTACAAAAAAAAAATTAAAAAAAATATTAACATTTCCGATAATTTTTTTTAATAATATATTTTTTCCTTAAATATCCCCGTCTTTTACACATTATTAAAATCAGTGAAGTTGACTTCCGTACTAATTGGTATCTACTCGATATAACCTTTAGCCTATATTTATATTATTATATGTGCATTGGACTACTCTAAACTATATACATATAAATAGGATGACAATTTAATCTAAATTTGATGAATTTCAATTTGAATAAAATTAGATTTAGGTCAAATTTTGTAAAGAGTAAAGTTGTATTAGAGTGAATTTCGAATTTAGAGTGAAAAATATTGATTCGACTCGATTTGATATGAAATAATATGCATGTATATATAATTAAAGATAATTATTATAATACTATTCTATATATTTTTAATTAAGTCTCTATTTTTACCAAATATAATTAATAAAAAATATATTTATGTCAAGTTGAATTTTATCTTAATTTAAGCCGAAATTCGAATCAGATAAAATATTCTTAAGCTTCTATCAAAATCAAGTGAAAGAAAATATATTTATCAAATTGATTAAAAATTGAGTGGACCCATTGTTATCCGGGACTATAAGCGGAACAAATTTCTTGCATGTTCCTAGCAAAGAATGTTGTTTGTGTTGTTTATATTGGAAGATACATTTTAAAGAAAAGGAGCGAAGGTTAAAGGTGAGCAATGGGTAACATAGGGTGGTGCATGCGCAGTGCTCAATTCTTTAGCTTTTATATGGTAATCATCGACTCACTGCCTCATCATTGGCATTTGGGATTTGGGCGGTGGTGGCGCACTCATTTCCCTGCTACCTTTATTTCTTTTTTCTTTCAAACTACTTTCCCAATACCTTCTTTTCATTTTGGTTTAGGCATGAACACAGATTGTGGCTCTGCATGGGGTTCCTTATGTCTTAATAAGCTAAAAATTCATGATTTTATGGCCTTCCAATTCCATTGTGTTGCATATTGTTTTTTCTAAAGCACAATAATAAGTCACTAATGTTTGTGAATATTTCTTTTTTATCATTAAAGTTTTAAAAATTATATTATAGTATTTTATATATACATATAATCTGAATCTAAAAGTATGAATGACTTCATGCACAATTTCTGCTGCTAATGATTATTGACACACCCATCTCAACAATGATTAAGCAATACCGAGTACTGCAATATTCCATGGCAAGTGATCAAGTCGGTTGTTCATCGAGATAAGAAGAAAAAGAAGCTATACTAATCGGAGTAATCTCAACGACCGATTATCCTCCGGCCTCCGAACAATCACGGTGGCTCCCCACTCAATTCTTATTCAGTAGATTGTAGAAAACTTTAGGCTTTCTATAATGTGAGATGCACAAGGCCTGAAACCATAAATGTGTTCCGAGTATTAGCTCACTAGCAATGAATATGAAAACTCAAATTAGTGGCTTACCTGCATTGCAAATGCTATGTGAATTAAAGTTGGTTCAGACCATGGCTTCCCTATGAATTGAAGGCCAATTGGCAAACCTTCTTTGTCATAACCAACCTATCAATAGTACACGACTGATGTCAGTGTAAATTTAGCAACAAGTTTGATTGGATTTCATGAAGAGAACCGAGTAGTAACGAGTTTTTACCGGAACAGTCACCGCAGGTAGTCCTAAAAAGTTCCCTGCTATCTGATATCGAACTAGGGCAGCTGCAATGACGATGACGAAATGGTTAGCTTCCATTATGATGTAGCTCCTGTTCATTGACTTATCCTACTGATAAAAGCTTCAGTGTTTAACAAATGCTTGCTGAAAATTCTGTCAAAACTCATACCTCCGTTTATGTAGTCAAGCTCACCGGTCTTTAAAGCATCGTTGAATATCGTGTATGCAGTCACACTGTTTCAAGAGAAGAAAAAAGAAAAATCTCTCTTGGACATTCTTCGAGAAAAAAGGGTCACTGAAATAGATGCAAGATGTTGCAGTTAAAAAGAATCTACCCTGTTGTTGGAGCAGCTATGACATCTGCCTTGTCAAATATATTCTTATGAATCTCCATCTGGCGGTTCCTGCATATATGTATAGCATGTTTGCAGAATCTAAAATAATAGTTGACATTCACTTTTTAATTCTTCCAATGAATTGCATTTCCCATATGAGTAACAAGTAAATATTGGCAACAACTTACCTGATTTTTTGGGCCTTTATGTACTCGTTGCTGTCGAAAGAGCCGTACACCCTCAGTGCTACTCTTGCATCCCATCCTAACTCGGAAAAATCCCTATTTGATCGAGTTTATATTGTCAGGATTTGAGTGAGCATAAGAAGATAATTCGAGCTTGAATCCAGAACATAACATACAGCTTTTCCAGGTAAGAACTCAGTGAAGCAGTACATTCGGAGCCGATGGTCAGATAATGTGCCAGCCGCATCGCCTCTATCTCCGGTATAGTAACCTCAACAGTCTTGTGAATAACAAAACTTTTGCAGATTAGCAAGCAGTCACTAATGTTATGTTGATAACTCTTTAGATATGCTAGTTTTCTATTGCTAATACCTTCCACTTGTAGTGCTCACAAAGCAAGTGCAGAGCATTGGAGCAGCATATTCTGATCTCATCGCTACAGTCATTGAACCACTAATTTAGACAATTAGTGGTTCATAAATAGAATTGAAGGACTTAGGAATCTCATCTTCTTGAGGTGTAATTGATGATAAAACTGAACTTAAACTAATTGATCGTATCATTACATCACTAACCTCTCCATATCTTGCAAACTTGATATCTGATATCAGATTTGCCGAGTTCAGCAGCGGAACATGTAATTTGGGCTGGAAGATTCAGAATTAATTTTCTCTCAAAAGGGTATGATCAGAATTTAGAACAACAAAAAATATCCGAAAATTGGAGCGGCCTTATGGAGCTGGCACTTACAGGTAAAGTTGTTGGCTCATATGATTGAAGTTGGCCACTAATAGCAGCATAGCTGAAAACAGAAAACTAATCTAAGTCACTTCTAGAACTATGAAAATAAAATTTAGAAGTCAAGGAAATGCATTGGTAATAGAAACTGAGAATTCTTACACGACCAATGCATCCTCTAAGGTGCCTGCTAGTATTCCAACCATCCCCACTGTCCAGTTCAAAGGAAGAACACTGGAAACAACATATGCACTTGTTGAAATGTTGTCTAAATATAACATCTAATGAAAATAGAATTATTTTCCATAAACTAACTTCTCACCCTGAATGGGGTATGCGTCCGAAAGTCGGTTTGAGCCCTACTACACCGCAAAGAGATGCAGGCATTCGCACAGAACCTACAGCGAAACCATAGAATATGAAGGACAATGGTCTTTTAAACTTATTCACACGGTATTTGGTGTTTCTTTTTTCTTTGAAAGAAGACAAATTTACCTCCCCCATCCACACCAAGGGCAACAGGGCATAATCCTGCGGATACTACGGCAGCAGATCCACTGGAGGAACCGCCGGCAATTTTGTTGGGATCAAACGGATTTCTAGTAGTCCTGCAGCGTTAAAACATACCACCATCTTTAATGGAAAGAACTTTCATAAGATTGAGGAAAGTGTTAAAATTAGTGAAGTTGGTTTTCTACATGATAAGGTTGTTTTTTTTTATATATAGACTAAAGGGGAAAACACAAGAAAATTCTCACCCATAGTGAGGATTTATCCCACTTGTCCCAGCTCCAAGCTCATGCATATTAGTCTTTCCGACAATTATAGCACCACAGGATCTGAGGTGCATAACACAGCATGCGTCGTCGGTGCAATGTCTAACCTTGTGCAGCCACTTTGTACCTCCTAGAAGAATCGAGAGTAAGATAATGACGAATTAGGAATGAAAATTGACACGAGTAAAGGAAGGCAAGTGGAGAAATCATGAGACCTGTTGTTGGATAAGGGGAACAATCTATTTCATCCTTGATAGCTATTGGGACTCCATCTAGAGCCGATTTCGGATCCCCTGGAGAAGAGAACGATCAGATCCATATAAACATACAGATGGTATTGATTGATTATACATGAAAATGTTTCACCTTTGCTAAGCTTGGAGTACCATAGAGAATGCTTATGTCCTTATGTTTCAGGAGAATGTGATTTGGTTAGACTAAAAGGTTTACCTCTTTTGAACCGAAGAGTTGACTCTGTAGCTTGCCTTAGGATATCTTCAGCATCATAGCTAATGAAAAAGAACATTGGCAAAGCACCAGTGGAAGATTCGCGCACGGCTTTTATAAACTGCTCCGCGACCTTATAATCAAAAATCAAATTCCGTGACCATGGTAGAGTAAAAGTCATCGGTATGAAATAGCTAGAACATCTTTAATTTTTCAGTTGACATTGTAATCACTCATTTAAATGGGAAACAAACAACATGGCGTACACTAAAAATGCCAAGAATGATACCCTCAGTGGAGTTATTTCACCAGAGCTGTAGGCTCTTGAATAATCCGTTATTGTCCAGCGTCGGAAGCTGCTGGATTTTAAATCATCCGGGGACTTCTCTGAGGTTAAAGGAAGGCAATTTATTGCCCGTTGAACCCGTTCTGATGGAGATGCATCAGAGTCTATGTGTTCAACTTGTTGTTCCTTAAGGTCTGTGTTGATGCAATGAAATTAGAGTAAAGAAAAGAAGTACGTATCAGAAACATGGTATTAAATTGTGGCCGCAACGCAGTGTAATGGCCGCATCGTAACAGTTTTGAAGGTCACCGCGACGCAATATTAACTTAACGCAACCGCCCGCGATAGCCGCAACACGTTAAAAAATCACGCTCGCGACAGCCACAACATGTTACGTAACGTCCGCAACATCAGTAACCGCGACACGCAACCGCGATAGATGCCGCAACCGTTATTTTATACTATGATCAGAAAGTATGCAGCACATACATACCAACAAAAGGATGCAAAGGAACAAACATCGGTGACTCCTCGAGCGTCGCATTTGAAACAAGCTGCTCAAAGGGGAAGAAGACATACACAGTAAGAAACAATAACAGTAAACAGAAGAGAAACAACAATGTCATGGTCCGTACTCCATAATAAGCATCATTTGTTTTTGTGAGCAAACATAAAGCTTGCAAGTTCCAAAGATGTCATGATGAATGAAAGTCCTGTTTCTAGCAGAGAGCCTAACCAGTATATCAATCAAAACATCAATGTCTGGTTTCTAATCAACTGCTTGGTTCGAAGTAAAGAGAAAGAACAAGATGTAAAATGGTAACAAACAAAATTACTAGGTTTTTTTTTTCTTGTGCAATATTCATTCTGAGATCTCAGCTATAGGCCAATAATTCATTGTACTTTCTTCCTATTGAATGAATGAACCAATAGAAATAGTTACCAAATTACCATCACATGGGTGTTAGTAAATGCTGTGACCACCGACTCAATGATATTGTGTCTTACCAACAGAAGTTCTAGGTAAATGTAAGGCGCCTCTTTACTTTACAGCTTAATTTGTGATATGGGATCTTTTTCTTCTACTTTTTAACAGAAAATAATGGTAAAAGTTAAAGGTTTTGAAAGAAAAATGAAGCTAAAAAGTGTGAACCTTGTGAATGAGGTTGTTCCTCTTCAATATGTATAACAACAACGTTCCAATGATCCTTGACTCCAGGAACCAAGCAAATATCTTAACCAGAAATCCAGCCATGCGAGGAGCTTTACACCAAGCACACAAAGTATATGGTAAAATTACTCTAGGTAACAATGAGTGTTCATGAGGCAAATTATATGATTATGCAACTAAAACATGGCTTTTGGAGTGTACTTTAGGCTCCAGCTGCATGCTTGAAATAAATTCAGAATATTTAAAACTCAAAGTCAACAACTGCCGTTTTAAGTAAAGTAACAAAAGGTATCTGCAAACTTTTCAGGAATTGTCGATTCAGTTTCGGCTAATAGTACCAAACAATTCAATGAGGCTGTTGGTTTCTGAAGCTATCTGCATATTATTCTCATCTGTGAAAATTTCAAAGAAAAGTTGAAATCTGAAAAAAAAAGCTAGTATGAATGAGGAAGCTGATGTATATTTGAAACCTTTAACATTGGCTTTGAGATAAAACTCATTGCTTGCAGGACCAAGATCAATCGACTCAACCGGCTTGTAAATGACTCCGGCAGCCCCGAACAATCCCATTTCGCCCGAGAAAACTCGTGAAGTGGTGGTTAGAGCAAATGCAACAAAGCAGAGGTTGAACAAGAAAGCAACAACGTTCAACCAATACAATTATATATATTTTAGGTACATAGGTAATATATGGTAATATAGAATGGACAGTGAGACAAGATTATATATGGCGGAGATGGCAACAATTTACAGCTGCTTAAAAGCTTAATACATTACTACAATTCATTAAATGGCATCTCAGCGACAGACCTACGATTTTATATTAAATTTATAGAATTTTAGAAGACGAAAAGATATTATCAATAAAAAAAGAGAAAATAACCTCAGTGACAAAAAATGTCTTATAATATACGATTTTAACTAACTTTTTTTGGATTTGCCAAAATGACCAACTAAATCGTAATGCGATCGATAATTCGCAATCCGATCTCCGGTATCGCAAATCAGTTTCCAGATTCGCAACGCGATTCTGACTATCGCATTGCGATTTTCCAAATTCGTTTTGCGATTTTTCGACTATCGCAATGCAAATATGTAAATCGCAATGCGATTATAACTATCGCAACGAGATTCTGACTGTCGCAACGCGATACTGACTATCGCAATGCGATTTTCAAAGCGCCATTATTATCGCAACGCGTATTTTTTTTTCAAATTCCAAACACGAATATTAATATATCGGAACACTGAACCGTCCACAGTATATCCCGTAATCGCAACTCATAACCTAAAACCCTAAATCACAACTCAGTCCCATCTCCATCTCTCACTCTCTAAGGCGACATCCGTCCCCATCTCCGACGAAATCAGTCCCCATCTCCGACGAAATCCGTCTATCTCCATCTCTCAGAGCCACCCTCACAATCATTCACGGTCAGAAATGAAAAATCAACCAAATCAACCACCGAGGGTTAGTTTTTTTAATTATTTTTATTTTGAAATTTTTGTATTATTATTAGGTTTTTCATATTGAAATTGATGATAAGTTTACTGGTAATTTCAATAATAGATTAACCATTTTATTTAGATTGCTTATTAAATTCATTCGATTGCTGCCAATACTACTAAACTGTTTAGTCTTTAAACCCTGTGAATTTAGTATTTGTCTTTGTTTTGTCTTTTGGTTGAAGTAATGCAATCCATTCAAGTTTCAATTTTAGTATTTGAAACCGAGAATCGCAACGCGAAATGAAAATCGCAACGACAGAATCGCAATGCGATTTTAGTTTCGCGTTGCGATTTTCATTTCGCGTTGCGATTCTCGCATTGCGATAGTCATTTTCGTGTTGCGATTTTCATTTTTGTGTTGCGATTTTAAGTTTCAGAAACTATTCTTCTTTTTCAAATTGAAACTTGAATGAATTACATTACTTCAACAAAAAAACAAAGACAAATACTAAATTCACAGTGTTGCAAATTTAAGTTTTAAGAATAAACTACTACTCTTTATGTTTATTGTTCTTGGTATATCTTCACAGTGTAGTTTTTGGTATATCTAACTTGGTATGTTTATTGTTTTTGTAGAATTTTTATTTGGCTCAATTGACCTTAAGAAATAAATTAAGCCTGGCCAAAACAATTGCGTCGAAGCTTTAACCTGCACAAAGAAAAATATTTGAGGATACTTGCTTCGGGCCATGGCTGAAAGTACAACATCCGGGTGGAGATGCTATGTTGACCCATTTGTTTCTTCAAACCATGACTAGCGATCTACCAGAGACTATACAACATCATGATGAAGAGATATGGTTTGATTTTCCACCGGCGTACACGTGTTTTGGGCGGGAGAAGTTTTGCTTAATCACCAGTCTACGCTTCGGACACGATGATGTATGTCTGTACACTAGACATATTACCCGCCTATCATGGTTATCCCGGGTTTTTCTTGAGCTGTCAATGGAGAAGCCGAATTTACACGTGGAAAACTTGACGAGATTATTGAATAAGAAAGATGGTTTTACTCGGATGGATAACGTCGATGTTGTCCGAGTATGCCTTCTAATACTTTTGCATGCCGGCTTTTTAGGCAGAGTGGCCAGACAACCTATTCCTAATGATCTAATTAAATTGGTAGAGGACCTAAATGCATGGAACTTGTTTCCGTGGGGTTCGTATCTATGGAAAGCTACATGGAATAAGTTGTCGTCTGCCTTTGATGATCGAAAAAGTTTGCGTGGCGATGGTTCCAAATACACTTTGTCAGGCTTTATTTGGGCCTTTAAGGTAAGAATTTTTATATAATGTTTCCAAAATTATAATTAATTATTATTTAACAATTATTAATGTTTGTTATTATATTGTTTGTAGATTTGGATATTTGAGGCCTTTCCCGCCATACAGACATATGCATTAAAAACTTCTAATGATATTCCTAGGGCTATTTCCTGGAAGAGGAAACGAACCTTGCAGCAATGGGAAGATTTACTACCATATACGACAAGTTATTACTAGTACACATTTAACTTTGTTTGAGCTTTTATATTGTTAGGAGGCCAACACTCCATTACAGAGGCTGACACCCACGGAAACTGAGCTTGCCACTGATTGGTGGCAAGCTAGTAAGCATTTTTTTGATGGCACGGATGATGAGCAGCCTCTACTTCGAGAGCCATCACCTCACCCAGAGCCATCACCTGATCGACCCGACTATACACCTCCACAATGAGAGCCATCACCTATTCTGTCACATCATCGAGCCTCTTCTCCACCATCACCTCATGATAGGCGACCGACAAAGATGCCACGACGTTTATCTCCCTGTTCTCCACCTCCACGGGATGAGTTAGGGAGTTACGTGATGAGGTCAATGCCTTGCATGAAGAGGTCGGTACTTTACGCGATGACAATGGTGCATGGCGTGTTGAGGTGTCTACTTTACGTGGTGAGGTAGCCGCTCTACGTGAGATGGTAGCATCGTTGTAGAATGAGGTTCATACTCTACGCAATGAGGTAAGTTTAATATTTTTCATATTTAACTTGATGATAAATTTACTCGTAATTTCACTTAGATTAACCATTTCACTTAGATTAACCATTTCACTTAGATTGCTTAGTAAATTCATTCGGTTGCTGCCAATACTGCTAAATTGTTTATTCTTTAACCCTGTGAAGTTAGTATTTGTTTTTGGTTATCTTTTGGTTGAAGTAATGCAAACCATTCAAGTTTCAATTTGCAGAAGAAGAATAGTTTACTTTCGCAATGCAAAAATGACTATCGCAACGAAAGAATCGCAATGCGAAATGAAAATCGCATTGCGATTCTCTCGTTGCGATAGTCAAATTCGCGTTGCGATAGTCATTTTCGCGTTGCGATAGTCATTCGTGTTGTGATTTTAAGTTTCAGATTCTATTCTTCTTCTGCAAATTGAAACTTGAATGAATTGCATTACTTCAACCAAAAGACAAAGACAAATACTAACTTCACAGTGTTGAAAATTTAAGTTTCAAGAATAAACTACTACTCTTTATGTTGTCATTGAATCTGCACTAAACCTATATGTTGTCCTTTTAAATGTTTATATAAGTGATTACTTCTTGAATGTTATCTGATTCATTTTGTGAACAATGATAGAATAATGACTTGGGTGAATACCGTGCAAGTTTGAAATATATTTGTCTTTGTTTTCACTGTTTAATATCATGTCTGTTTATTTACTGATTTATGTATTAATTTATTTTTAGCTGCCCGCTAAGGTGGATGCTCTACGTCGGGTTTTTCTTGCAAGACGGAGTTCACGCATCAGACGGCGTACACGTGCCATTACGTCTCCGTTTACCCCAATAGTGCGAAGAATCCGTAAGAAAAAGCCCGACTCACCTGTCATCGTTCAAGAGGCCTCCCCTATAGTTTAAGAGGCCCCTATCGTTCAAGAGGCCCCTATCATCCTTCAAGAGTCCCCTCCCACCATTCAAGAGGCCACTGTCATCGTTGAAGAGGTCCCTCCCAACATTCTAGAGCCCGATTCACACGGCGTAATATATCAAATTATTGAGAAACCCCCTCACGTTTCGGACATGATGAATGACTGTTGGCTTTCGTATAAGTTACCGGCCAGTACCATTCCGGCAGATGAAGTGGAGAGGAAACAACTACCGGAAACAATTCTGGATAATACCCTTTGGGCTAAGACCGTAGTTGATTTTTATCTACATGAGCGGAGCCAAGGGTTTTATGCTGACATATACAAACTCAACGATGATATGCATTTGTTGATTGAACGGTCTTGGTTGGGTGTGTTATTAGGGGTTGAAGATAATGACTATTTCGATGGGGGGCAAGTCTTATACTTCTTCTTATATTTCATTTTGATTTTTTTTTAAATTTATGTAATTCACTAATATATGTCTTTTTTTGTAAAACAACATATTGATGCATGGGTGTCACGTCTTCTAATAGTAAGGAAATTGAAGAAAAAAAAATACGCGATATACAATTATGCCGACGTCTTTTCACGTAGTTCACTTGAAGAATCAACGATAGGAATCATATGTGTTGGCTAATGGACAAGCTAAACTTTATCCTGCATGGTGGGAGGTCGATAAGGTTAGTATTTATTTGTTTAAATATTTTAAAGGTGTTCATAAATAAGTGCGCAATTTGAATTAGTACATTTCGATGCAGGTGTTTATCCCTGTTTTGGAACGTACTCATTGGCTTCTCGTCGAGCTTCAGCTCCCATCCCTAAAGACAATAGTATATGACAGCATGATAAATTACATATCATTGTCTGATTTGAGAGAAATTATTAAGGGATGGAGCTCTCATTTGGCTAAATTCTTGGATGCGATTAATTATTGAACTTATTCTGGAAATAAGAAGCCAAAGAAGTTCAATGTTACAGTTATCAGAGACGAGACCGCGCCACAACAAACGAAGGAAGTCAGAGGGGATTGTGGTCCTCTCATATGCATGTGCTTGGAGCGTTTGATAACAAGAAGTACACAGTTTCTACCTCCCACCGATAGAGATAGAGGTGCAGTAGGCTTGTGGTTTCGGCATTTTATGGCTAGAGCGATATATGAGAGACGCTGCCTACCTGCATCCGCGTTATGAAAGTG